GTGTGCCTAAATAAAAATGTGTACTTAAGGGCTATAATGGTTTATGTAATCCAGAACGTGTGTCAGTGAATTCCGGGTGCCAAAACTAGAGTTCCCAATGATGGTATGCGCAGTTCTTAGAGGAAATGGCTACGTGTGCTCAACAAAGGCAATGAAAGGATGTAACTGTTATCCATGTTCCAAGGGTTACTATGGCGCTATAATACACGAACTGTGTCTTCCATGCCCCCCAGGTAATTAACTTACGACTGCTAATGATTCATTCATACTCATGAACATCCTCATCATTTTAATTTCTATGTATTTTAGTTATCAAATTCTCTTTAAAAAATAGTACATGAAAGAATATCTTCATTATTATATTCATTTAATTAATAGGAACAACAGTTGCAGCAACACAACAAAAAAATTGTTAATTTATCTTTCTTAAATGTTAAATTTCTTTAAAACTCTTCTATACTATCTCTTATAGGAGGTTATTACCTTGATGAAATAGGGGTCTCGAAAGGATTCACGTACAAGGATAACTGTAAGACGTGCAATAATGGCACATACGTCCCACCGGAACGAGCTCCTGCCAGATCTCTAACAGAATGTCAAGTATGTCCATTTGGTACTCAGACTAACAAGGTCGCTGGCTCCCGTGCCTGCCGATGTATAGAAAATTATTATCGTGCTTACCGGTTTGGACGTTGCTTTGAATGTACAACCAAAGGAATTAAGTGCCCTTTTGAGCATCAACAGCTAAAGCCTGGCTTCTGGTGGTATTGGCACTCTCTCAATGATTTTTACATGTATTCAAATTATACCAAAGCACTTGTACAAGAGAACTATGACAATCCTGATGTCAAACGATATTTGAATTTCTCTGGATCACTGCCATACGCTCAGGAGTGTCCAAGACCAAAAAGTTGCCCCGGTGACACAATAAACGCCAGTTGTGCTGTTGGTTTTACAGGCTGGATGTGTACACAATGTGAAGATGGCTATTATCCTTGGTTTGACTCTTGTAGTGAATGTCCTTCTGTATGGCATTTTCTGCTTATTTACAGCGTCATAATATTGGTTTTACTCGCCCTCATTGGCTTAATCTTGTGGGTAGATTCCAAACGAAGTAATGTCAGCTCGGAATCCAGAACAGTAGCTGATATGTTCTTAGCCAGAGTTAAAATTGTGATTGGGTTTTATCAAGTTCTTGCCGGGATATTCAGTACTTTAATGTACATACACTGGCCTAAGGCTCTTGCAAATGTTGGACAACATCTACAAAACATTGCTTTGAACATCATCAAGATTGCCGGCCCGCAGTGTCTTGATACTCGATTCAAGCTAAATGCTTATCGTGAATTCATATTTGGAGTAACATGTCCAGTAATTGTGATATCATCAACCTGCTTAATTTACATAATCAAGAAGTTTATTTCAAAATCAAATAGCCCTAAACATGACCTTACGTCAAAGATGGCGAAAACAAAACGACTATGCTTCCAGTATACACTTTCTCTGCTTTTTCTGACGTATCCCAACTCATGTAACTCAATTTTCACTCTTTTCCCCTCAATCTGCAAGACCTTCTGGATTGATGAAGAACAAATTTACCAGCAAACTAGACTGAAGTCTGACTTTTCAATCTCCTGTGAAGATGACAAGTATAAAATTTTTATGTTTGCAGCCTACTTAAGTCTTCTATATGTCATAGGCTTTCCATTGGGTCTGTTGTTTCTACTGTGGAAATTTAGAAATAGGTGTTGTCGGCACACCGATCACTTGGCAAATGTTCAGTTAGGGACTTCAGATATAGATATTCTATATCAAGATCCAAGCATGGTTCACTTTAATGATGGCGATGATCAGGATGATGCATCATTGAGACGAACATCGATTCAGAAAACTCTGGCAAATCGAATGTCAACGGGTGGCTCTAATGACCCTTATGGTCTTAGAGCGTTTCATGAAAGTTACAACTCAAGATGCTGGTTCTGGGAAGTAATTGAATTAGTGCGGAAACTAACACTTACGTCGCTTATTATTTTCTTCGGCTCGTCGAGTAGAACACAGGTTGGAGCTGCTGCGTTTCTGGCGATAATGTTCCTAATTCTGCACGTAGCATTTAAGCCAATGAAAGATAACTTTGAACATTGGCTGCAGTTGCTATCCTTGGCTACTATTGTCCTCAATCTTTTGGTTGGCGTGATATTAATGACTCCTGTCGACGACATAATTCAAACTAAGCTGGATCGAGCCGATGAAGTTGGTGTCCAGGTTATACTCGTGTTGGTTGATTTTGGAATCATCATGCTATTTGTAGGTGAGTAGGGTTCTATCTCAAACACTGTGTACAATGATCACAATGGACATAACGTACAATCCGCTTTACTTGTTTTATTTGGCATCTATCGTTTTGAGAACATTATGGCAACATTCTACACCAGTTAGCAGATAGGTTTTCTAAGGAGCAACGCATTAAATTTTAAGATGTTTATTACACTTAATTACCTCGCGAAAAACAATCACACCATACATAGGCCTATCTGGATTAATCAAACAAAGTTCTTCAAGATGCATGTTTATTGCGCTTCAAATATATTTTAACCATCTTCTCTGTCTTCTCTGTTTTGTAAGCCTACCGTTATTATTTATCTTAATTTGATAAATTACATTAGCTTAATTTTTTTTTCAGAAGTGATTAAATGAATAGCACATTCTGTAAACCTATACGTGAAACGAAAACATTATTGCAACTCATTGTCTTTCGGTTTAAAATTTCCAATTATTAAAAATTTCCGATCTTCTATTTTTTAGTTTCTACAATTCGATCTCTGTACAAAGCCTTCAAGAACATCTTAAAGGAAAATAAGGAGAAGAAAGGGAATATTGAGAATTACGCAAGATTCAAGAAAGAAATTAATGATGTACTTGCTATACAATCAGAACCTTTAATTCTTTAAGATTAAGCCTGTTGAAATATTAAAAATAAAATTGGTGGATATACGAGTGAAATAAATTATGTAGGTCTATGAGTAGACTGTGACTTTTAAACTCCAATTTATTTATTATTTATAAGGGAAAATTAAACTAGTGAACCTCATGTACAATTTTGAATGTCTATTTCAAAAGTAACACATGATAGTATGTTTTAACCCTTCTATGGCGGGATCTTGGTCACCGCAGTAAATTTGCAAGAGCACACCAACAAAATATGTTTACTAATTCATTAATCAAGCGAAAAAAATTGGTGTGCTTAGTGTGTACCGACTTAAGAATGCGAGTACACAATTTAGGATCCTGGACCTTCGCTTATTAAGATATTTAAGAAAGTAGTAATTACAAAACAAAAACATACTATGCTTAATAGAGCGTACAGATTATCATCAACCAATGAAGTATTTCTTGATGTATTAAACGATATTGTTTGAATACATATGATGCAGCTAGTTTGATCTCTTCTCATCGAAAAACTAAGAGAAATTGATCGTATTAAAAAAATTCATTTGTGTACGAGATCACCAATCGTGCATACGAGTTCGAGAACACAAATCGTGCATACGAGTTCGCCAAAGTGTGTACGAGCTGGCATGTGTACGAGTTAGCATACACCGCTATGGAATTAAATTACCCAAGAGAATTAATCAGTAGTATCATTAATAATTTTGAACAATCTAGTGTTAATACATCTAACAAACAATGTTATCTTTGTGGCACCAATATTCTTTTATTTGTAAATTACGGGTAACATCGACCAATTATATGGAACCTGCGAGCGCAAGCCGTTATCCATGAAAATGAATGCACAAGATACATCAACAATAACTTCATTGGGGTAGATGTGGGCCGACATAGTGTTATGAGAACTGTTGATGACACAAAGCATGATCTAGGTATCGAAAGTCAGGTTTTTTTTTTTAAAAGCCCAACGGCCATGTCGCGAAATTTATGTGTATGACAAAATAATGATAATGTCGTCCGGTTTACAATAATTGGTGTCGGAAGTGGGGTCCAGAAAAATTAATGTTGGAAGGAAAGTTCATAATAAAATTCAGACTTCACCATCACTTAATGCAAAGACACATATTGGCTAACATTTTGTTACTGTGATCATTTTAGAATTTAATTCAATGTCTTTTATTTATCAACATAAGTACATGTATATGAGAGCAGTGGTGTTTTAATAAAAATTCTATATTAAGTTTATTAAGAATATCAAAATTACATTAAGCACTGTTAACAGTATCAATTTTATTTGATAAAAACCTGTTGTATGCCCATATATAGTCATGATATGCCTATACTGTATATGGTCATGATGTGATGTCATCATGACAAATATGAGGCCGCCAGGACTCAAGAGGTTATACAGTATATCATAATTGCTGCATATTTTTAATTTGTTTTAAATTTTATTTATTTATTTATTCACCAAAACAACAGCGGACACAAATCCGCCACTTACAGTATGGTTAACAAAGGACGAGACGACGGAAACAGAAACACAAACAAAATTAATTTTAACTAATCACGCCTAAAACGCTACGACGGAAAAAGTGCAGATTGGAGTTAAATAAATCTAAAGACGGAAAGGAACTTATTGTATGTACTATAGGTTTGGTCCTGCGCATGGCAAAAATATTCAAATTATAAAAAGTTCTAGTGGTTACATTGATGAACTGCTTATTAATGTAAAACTCATAGAAAGAATACTAATTTAAAATTGGTGTAAATTTTAAATTTATCAACTGTTATAATTTTTTTATATAGATTTTTAAATTACTTTGTTTCTGCTGATTAAAAAAATAAAAATTAATATTGTGTTTTGTTTAATGTTAACTTATAGTTTACTCATCTTGAACTAATTGATAACATGATTTAGTTCAACCTTCACTAGCTGTAGGGCTACTAGGGTATCCATTCTGACTACAAAGCTACAATAGAATTCATTTCACGATAACATTAACAGACATAAAATATATAAATACTATTTGGCAGCTGTTATCAACCCCAGCGACTAATTTAGACAATTAGATTAGACAGTACGACTTACAAAGAGAAATACTAAAATGTGGCAATCTTCTAAAAGGCCTACATTTTTGGGTCATGTCACCCTTGTTAACTAAGATTTCATGCTAAGTAATAATAATAATAATAATAATAATAATAATAAAAATAATAGTGTAGTTTTATATAGCGCACATATCCATCTAATGTAGTATTAGTATTAAGCTAAAAAAGTCTCCAAAAAGGTCATAAAACCACATTATTCTATAAAAACACTGATATGAAATACCTAAAATTCATAATTTAAAAATGTACAGCATTTAAAACATTAAGGTCTTTCCATACTATCAAAATTTTTTATGTGACAAATTTGTGTGATGTGCCCATATATGGGCATGATGATGTCATACTACACCCAAATATTTGCATAGCACATTTTTTTTGTCACATAGAATTTGATAGTGTAGACAGAGCCTAAAGCAGATAAATTTTCATTGCTTGATCTGCATCTGTTAAAATACCGACAAGTCCAACTGGATCTAGACACAAGCTCATTGGTGAGTGTCCCTCGATGAGAGTGCCTGATTGAGAGTGCCGGGATAAGTGCCCTAGTTAATGATAATAATAGTGTAGTTTTATATAGCGCACATGTCCATCTAATGTAAGATGCTCAGGGTACTTGATATGTGGACTAGGAACTTGATCAATGACTTTCTTCGCCCCTAAGGGTCCCTTCATGTCTGTGCTACCCGGTGACCCGGTACCAGCAATTCCCGTTGTCCACTCCGTTATGAGTGCCACTGAATTAGAACGTCTTGAAGAGTGTTTGTGATTGATTGTTTTATAGGAAGCGCTTGATGACAGTGACTGAACGAGTGTACTGTACCTGGATTAGGTGTGTCCCTGGATTAGTGTGCTAAATGGATGAGTATGCCTGGAAGAGTGCTTCTAGATAAATGTGCCCTGAAAATAAAAGAAAAATAAAAATTTGCCTATCCAAATAACATTATTTTAATTTCCAATCCCTAATATTGTGGTCTTAAAGCACAATTTGAACCATACTAAGCCATAAAAACTCTCTCTGTGAACCCTACAGATTTTTTTTCCGGAACCCCAACCGAGGCTCTAATCAGCCCCTTGGTTCAGATCCCTCCGTCGGACACGCCAGACCCCTTGTCGGCAAATTTCTTGAGCCACCGCTGGGTCCAGCACCTCTAGGTGGCAGATTATTGAACTAGAATTAAATATTGATGTGATTTCTTTCTTTATTATTTTTCTGCTGACCCACTGTAAAATATTGGTGGCCCAGATTCATGTTGCAACCCACAGTTTGGGCAACTATGTCAATATACAGGATTTGAGAACAGTACAGAGAGTATGGAAGACAGTACACAGCCTTATATTTGAACACTTGCATTGCTAGGAAGAAAATTAAAAGTTGCATTGACTTTCTGAACTGTGGTCTGTTTACCTTTACCCATAAACCAATAGTACTGTATTATTGTAAGATTATTAAGGTGGATATGGAGACAGTTTTTAAGGCTGAAAATACTGCAATTTTAAACCATGGTAATAAGCACAGTTTCAAAATTATTCCAATGGGAACAAATTTCATGGAGTAAATAAAGCATCACTTGCACACTTATTAGGTGAAGGTAATCTACATTTATTGGTAAATAATTCAATACTGAAAAAATTCAATGGCTTCTCATGTTGAGTTATTAACGTTGGTTTATAGCCCCATTCCCGGCAAAATTTCAATTTTTAAGAAAAATCTAATTTTGTATAATGTTATAAAGATTTATAAATATAATACGGAATTGCTAGTTTAACTGAATTTAGACATTCCTAAGAATGAAAAAAATGTAAAATAAGACTGAAATTTGATTTTTTGTGTTCCACACAAAAAATAAATGCGGATGAATTTTTCATGTTGATTTTGAAATATCGTAGGCGCCGAAAACATTAGCCTATCTAACGCTGCTGGCTAGGCCTAGCCTTACCTCAATTTTAGGTTCTGTTATCACACATAAAATTGGCCGACATGATATTTTCCGTTGCTAGTATTGACACTTGTGAAATATAATATTTCATAGGAATTATTTCAAATTTGTTAAAAAACTGATTCTGACTGAGATTTTGACACTTAAACAAACATATCCCAGCCTAAGCGAACGACCGCATTGCGCGAGATGCGAAGTACAAAAAGTAATCTCATTAGAGAGGGGGCACTTTATTGACTGTATAAAGTATACATAAAAGCGAGAGTATTCCAGTGGATGCGATCTTCAACCTCTGAATTTGCCTAGTAACGATGAATTCGTCGAGAAAATGGTAATATTTTATGAGAAATAGTCTGTATTTCTCATTTTTTTTTATTCTTTTGCGTAAAACTAAAATTCATGCTAATATTTTTCCATGATTTATAATAATTGGAGTAATGCAAATGCATATTTTCTAAAAAAAGTCATTTTTAGTGAAATTTTGCCGGGAATGGGGCTTTAACTCTAGAGGGCAGCATATAAAAAAATTGGATTATCTGCAAATTAATTTTCTGTAAGCTTTTTCAATATTTTGATTTTTGAGGTGTTATAAACATGAATCATATTTATATTAAAAAATTAATTAAAAACATAATAACATGTGGATCTCAAGCACTGGTATATCAAAAACAAGTTCAGTATTCAATGATAATCAGATAATACTTACAATTATTGTGTTTCCATCTTTACTCCTGTAAAAAAAAAAACCTATTAATATTTACCATTACCATAATTTTATTACAAATTCATTTTTTTTGTAAATAGAATTATTGTAAATTTATCCTTTTCTTTTTCCTTTCTTTTCTAAATTCAACTACATAAAACTACTGTGCAGTATGAAAACCTAATCCTACTTTGGTACAAAATTTTGCAATAATCAAATTCATTAAAAAATTTTTATTAAAATTAGTCATCATCATTTTTTTAAAAGATTTGTCAACAGAGAGGGCAGGAAAAAAAAAAGGATTTTGCCCAGCACAGTTAGGTAGAGGTGAAAATAAGAATGAAAATTTTGTTGGTGAATGTAAACAGTGTAGCATGGGATTGGAAAAAGCTTTAAATTTATATAATAGATATATAGACATCATATTTGTGTGATTTCAAGGTAGTGACAGGCACAATAAAATAAATTAAACATTGTATTTTGTCTGAAATTTGCATTTGTGGCTGCATGTGGGCCAAAAACTAATTAAAAAAAATTTTATTTGACATCATCATCGGTGGGCAGCGAGTTCACAAAACTAGGAAAGTCTTGCCTACAGTAACACAGAAAAAACCTCTGAATTAAGAATCTCAAAGTCAATATCAGACGTGTCTGAATGCAAGAATGTCAGTGCATTTCTGAGCATCTAAGGGGAGGAGGAACAGGGCTACAGACCCTGTATAAAATACACCAGTCTATGTAATTTAAAATTAATCATCAATGCAAGTAGGCAGGCAGAAGGGTGTATTGGTTGTGTATATATATATATATATATATATACATATTTTTTTTAAATTGCAATTTCAAAGAGAAACTGTTCTGAAACTGTTTTTATATAAATTAGGTTTTCAGGCAAGTGGTTCCCCCTCCCCACATCTGCTCCTAATCCTATGCCCATGATCATCAGCATCATACTCTATCGTCAACATACTGTATATCTAGTAATATTTGATATATATAACTTAATAAGTACTTACTAAATTCATTTACAATTTTGTATATGTGTTGTAAACCCTGTTGATCTCTCAGGAGGTCTGCAAATGCTTGAATTTTCTGTAAATCATCATCAAGCTTCATTTGCCGTGTTAAAGCGTTAATCAAAGCCCATTTATCTTTCGACTCTTTTCTTGTGACACCACACAACTTAGCAACTGCTAACACATCTCCATCTTCTAAAGACTTGCCAAGATCTAAAAGAAATCTTCTGTAATCTGAAATGGTCTGGGGCCTCCTCATGTTTAGGCAATTTGGATAATAATTACATATTACTGTTTCTATTAGCATGATCATACCTGCCACTTCAAACAACTCAATCAGAAGTGACACATTTGTTGGGCTTATGTAACCCCCCGTTTCCAGAAGGGTGAAAATATCTATTTCAGTGGCTTTTTGCAATGCTCCTGCATTCCTTATAATGTCTTGAATTGCTACTTTCAGCATTGGCAGTTCATCTTCTTCAATTTTGCCTGCCAGCTGTACGATCATTGATCTGAAATCCTCGTCGCTCATCGTCTTGCGGAGAGATTAGCTACAATATAAAAGACAAGTTTGTATTAAGCCAGCTACTTCTTTGGTAATATGTATGATCATAAATTTAATTTCATGATAAAAAAAAATACAGTACCTCAGCCATACGATGCTTTGGGCCGAGGTACAAAATCTGATGTCTGCAAAAAATCTACTGTACATGGCCGGAAATGGCATTCTAAATTTTCAAAAAATTTAGTAGGGCCTGACCCGGCTTCCCCCAACCTCTGGAATTCACCTCTGATGTATGATCATAAATCTCAATTCATGATAAAAGAAACCTGGTCTACAGTACTGTACATACTGTAAGTTTGTCGGTTTTGGTCCAAGTCAGATTTCAAAGCCAAACATCAATTTGCAACAAAAACTTTTGAACAAATTTGATCTGTTCTATCAGACAGTTTGTTTGGGTACAAGTTGGTAGTTTGTTGTTTAAAAAATTATGGTCCTAATTGAAACTATTCAATTTTACTACTAAAACTATTTTTGGATGGATAAGGGTACATTTTCGTGGGTCCCTGCTGTGGGTTTCTACACATTGTAGATAATTAATATTTAATGTTTTTTTTTATTTTGTTAGCTGGGATTTTTTTATGCTTTTGATTACTAGTAGGCCTCAAGCACAGCATTAATAATCTAATTCTGTTCATTGAATCTGACCTGATGTTGCTGCAGTTTTAACCAACTTATTCTGGTAGTGGTATGAACCACTGATTGTGTTTGTATATAGGCTGATTGGTTAGTTCTAACTAAAGTTTGACTCAACTCAAACTGATGACACCTTCGGGTGGAAAGGCCCATTTGTTGTAGGCCTACGTTTCAAGCCCCATTCCTGGCAAATTTCAGTTGTTAAAAAAATCTGATTTTTATATGTTATAAAGATTTATAAATATAATACGAAATTGCTGACATTCCTAAACATGAAAAAAATGTAAAATAAGACTGAAATTTGATTTAAAAAAAAAATAAATAAGGATGAATTTTTTATGTTTGATTTTGTGATAGGTCTGCAAAGAAATAGAATAGGCGCTGGAAACATTAGCCTATCCAACACTGCTAGGCTAGGCCTAGCCTTACCTCGATTTAGGTTCTGCTATCACACATGTTGGCCGCTTTTATGTGTGATAGCAGAACCTCGATTTAGGTTCTGCTATCACACATAAAAGCGGCCAACATGATATTTTCCGTTGCTAGTATGTATTGACACTTGTGAAATATAATATTTCAATGGAATTATTTCAAATTTGTGATTCTGACCGAGAAGTTATGTATATATAAAAGCGAGAGCATTCCAGCGCATGCGATCTACAATCTCTGAATTTGCCTAGTATCGAAGAATTCGTCAAGAAAATGGTAATCTCCTATGAGAAATAGTCTGTATTTCTCATTTTTTTTTATTCTTTTGCATAAAACTAAAATTTTTGCCAATATTTTTCCATGGTTTATAATAATTGCTTATGCATTTTTTCTAAAAAAAAATCTTTTTTTTTTAGTGAAATTTTGCAGGGAATGGCGCTTTTACTAAAGGATACTTCCTACATTGTTTTAAAAATTCAGTTAATCCATTAAATTACATTTATGTAGGCCTAGGGGCCTAGTACTAGTAGTAGTAGGAGGAGCTACAAGGCCTATTCTAAAGCCTAGCTAGGCTAGGCCTTGTATTTGTATAATTACTAGGCATAGGCTTAGTCATCATCAGTCAGACGAGACAGTAGTCTCGCCTGACTGATGACTACTACTAGGCCTAGAACTGGGTTGGGTCCTGGTTGGAGTCTAGCCTAGAATAGGCCTAATGTAATAAGTAGGGCCTAGCCTAGCTAGCTAGAGCCTAGGCCATCCTACCTAGGCCTAGTCACTGACCTGGCCTAGCCATGGCCCCACTGAGCTGATGAATCGTTGGCCCGATCGTTCGTTTTTGTGTCTTATAAACTTATATACCTTTTAAAAATTAAGATTACTTTATAGTACGGAAGATGTTTCACAACTCTCTTCTCAGATACAGGCATTTGTTCGCTCCCGGCCTACTACTAAATAAACGCTGATAAATTAAACTTCAGTGCAGTCTGGTGGGTAAAGTCTACGTCAACGCAACCAAGTTTTCTATAGATGGCGCATGTCTTCCCGTAATGCAATCTTTTCATTCCACTGAGCCATTAGATCGGTAAGGACTGCAGATCTAATATAAAATATCTCAAATTATCTTTCTTTGCTTACGCCATCGTCAATAAAATTTACGTCTGAAACGTAGTTTATGTTTATTAGTTTACAAACAAATGTTTTTTGAAAAATATAAATCATTTTTATGTTCCGAAATTGTGGTATAGATGCTAGAGTAGGTAGTTGTGATGTCAATTGAAGAGTTGTTTACGGTTCCCTGATGATTTTAACCTCCATGGTTATATAGAAAGTCCTAGGCATAAGCAAATTAGAGCTCAGAAAGACCATATTTTTACTATGGTATAATTACATTTAATCTTGGCGCTAATATACATTCATTGCGCCTATCTAAAAAGTATTTTATTTACACTTACAGTGGCTTAGTAGGAGGAGGGAGGCTTGGGCCTGCTTTATTACTTTAAAAAAAAAATTAGGCTTAGCCTTAGCTCTTAAGCCTAGCCTGGGCTTGATATAGCCCTAGCCCTCCTGGCTTCTGCTTACATATTCGAATTCTATGGCGAGTTTGGAATACAGGCGCTAATGCACTTTAGTACTCCACCCTAACCCTAACCTTAACAATAACATAGCAAGACTGTAGTAGTTCCGTGTCCAGAATTTAAATAGTTTTTTTAACCACTCAAAATCACATTTGTCAGTGCTGATCCTTTTTTACTCGCTAGTCCTACAGTACCATAAGTAGGATATCAAAATACACATATTACTATGTATCAATGTGATCAGGCACTACAATACACAAATCACTATGTAGCTGTGTTTTCTGGTATGATGTTTTTTGTGTTACTATATGCCACATCAAGTACTAAAAACATGATTTGTAGAAGATTTAAGGTGTAGACAGTCCATGCTGTAAAGTTAATTAATTGTGCTGATGATACCTCAAAAAATACAGTAGCTCAAAATTTGCACAGAAACTAGGTGTGCAGAATTGTATCTACCAAATACATTGTCTTTTTGCCAAAATTTGCATGTAAATCGGCCCTTATTTTCCGAAGTGCACAGACAGATTTCTATGCCTAATTTTTGCTCGTAGGATGCTGTAGGCCTGTATTCCCCATGCTGGCCTTACTTTACAGTCCGGTAGATAGTAATATTAATTACTCTCAGTAATAATTTTCATAATATGATTATTATCATCCTATTTGCTCATGACAAATTTGCGATAGTTATCTTTTGATAAATAACTGAAATTCTCTAACATTGGTATTTTTGTCTTCTGGAATCCGTAGCAAAGTGGTCAATATTGGATAACCCTGAATTATATTACACTTCTGGGCGAAGTTAATCTGATTTTGAATTCTAGTCAATAATGATTTACCTTCTGAATTAAATTTCTTTGCAGGCAACATGAAGAGGAATCCATTATGCAGCTCCTCCAGGAGGAAGAACCGTAAGCGATACTTCAATGCGCCCTCACATGTGAGGAGGAAGCTGATGAGTTCTCCTCTTTCAAAGGAACTCAGACAAAAATACAATGTCCGCAGCATGCCTATTCGCAAAGAAGATGAAGTACAAGTAAGTATTCTTTCATCTGTACTAATTAAGGATATTGGTACAGCGGTATTCAACACGACTTAAAGCAGCCGATTAGAGAAGTTATCTTGCATCAACCAATGTTTTATGTTATTATGTATTTAATTATGTAAAATTGTTAAGGGTTGTATTGTATGGTATTCTTTGCATTCCATATGATAGCTACCGTATGCTGGAAGAACCTTCCTCCATAAAGATTTGTCATTTCAATTAATAAATTTGAGAATAATTATGTTGCTTCATCTGTTAGGTTACCAGGGGCCATTACAAAGGTCAGCAAGTTGGAAAGGTGGTTCAAGTTTACCGCAAAAAATTTGTCATCCATATTGAGCGTATTCAACGAGAAAAGGCTAATGGCGCCCAAGTTAATGTTGGTATCCACCCAAGCAAGGTTGGTATCGATATACAGTAATAACAGCGGAAAAGCCTGTGTAACATTTCATTTAGTGCTATTTATTGAATTTAGGCTTGGTACGTAGCAACAACAGTGTTGCATCATCAGCAGATTATGCCATTGTCTTGTTTTGTCAGTGGTTGTTAATAAATTCCAGTTTTCAAAGAATTTCTATTTAAATTCCACATAATATCCTGTCCCTGTTTACTCAAAAGGTTCGCCATAATATTCCCTTTTAGAATAGTACAGTTTTGAGTCGCCCTCAAATCTGTTTATAAATTTTAGCGTAAAAGATAACTAACAGATGAAATGTGCCAGAACTGAATAACACTACAATTGTTTTTTAATATAAATAATGTGTTTACTATAAACTAGGTAAATAAGCATGATTACTATTTATGTTACTGAAACAGAGCAGTGAGCCTGTATGATGACATAATTAATGTCGAAATATTGAATTCCAACACGATGGCGTGCATTTCAATACTTGGAGTATGTATTATACTATCTTATCTGAGCCTGTATGTTGTACACAGTTTATTGGAGTTCATAAATATCAATTCTTAATGATTTAATGGTCATATAGTTATACAGTTTTTGTTTTAGTATTTTTATTATTGTAGACAATATTTTTGTGTTTATTTTCTGTATTTAATTGGATATGATGTCTTTGGTGGGAAACCAATGATAACATGGAAAATCTGGATTGACCTTGTATCCTGACACATAAGCACACTCCACCAATTTTCCAAATGAAATACAGTAGAACCTGTATTATGGGTACACTTTTTAACCAAAAGCTCAAACATAGTGTTAAAACATGCCTTTCCTTGATTCCAAAAAAAGTTCCCTTAATAGGGATGTCCCTTTTAATATGGGTCTCTCTTTTGATAAGGGTGTCTCTTTTAATAGGGGTCCCCTTAATAGGGATGCCCCTTTTAATAGGGGGGCCCTTTTAATAGGGCTGTGTCTCTTTAAGAAGGGTGTGTCTCTTTAAGAGGGGTGTCCCTTTAAGTGGTGTCCCAATGTAGGTGTTTCACTGTAAAGGTTTCTGTTTCCGCTACCTTACATTTTTCTCAAAATTATCTTTCAGGTTGTCATTGTCAAACTGAAGTTGGATAACGATCGTAAGAAAATCATCGCCCGCAAAGCTGCCTCTCGCCAACAAGCTGCAGACAAGGGTAAACACACAGAAGAATCTGTTGCTATGACAACAGAATAGAGTGTTTGATTTATATGGTGAATAAATTATCATGATGGTGTACAGATAACACAAGTCTTGTCTTATATTTTCTGTCTGTTTAATTTAATGATTATTGATGCTTTATTTTTATTATTCAATTTTATTCTTTGATAATTTGACATATTACTACTGATGATGATGATGTTGATGACAATAACGACAGTATGATGAGATGATGATGAATAATTAGAGACAAGGTCACAGTTAAGTGTCTTGAACTTATGATAAAAGAGATGCAGTACAGAACTTCAAACTACAAAATATAAAAATGTGTGAGCTGAACAATAACAAAGACTGCATTGACGGTACCATCAGGGGGTAGAGGAATTGGACTGCTATATAAAAGGCAGTCATTTCACATTGAAATTTATTGTCAGGAAAATTGTATTCTTACTAAATATAAAAAAGATACAAAATTGCACAAGACAAAACATACTGTGTCCTGGTAAAACCTCGAATAGAAGCCCAAAAGGCTTAATCTCGAGAAGAAGCCCTCTTTATTTTGCAAAAGTAGTTTTAAAAAGAAGCCCACCTCAAGATAGAATGGGCTACTTTTCGAGATGGTACAGTACACACACTGTACATGAATTTCAAAGAAACAAAATAAATTAAAAACATGCTTTGGTTATGCAGTAGTTTAATGCCGGTCAATATACTCCATGATATAGACTGATGTTACAATGTAACTACTATTGTTTTATGATATTAATTCCGAACATTTACAGCATTCATTTTGAAAAGAAGCCACCCTCTATGCAATACTACGCAAAAGTAGCCTCGAAAAGAAGCCAATCTCGAAAACAAGCCCATCCGATGTTCAGTTTAAAAAGAAGCCCATGGCTTCTATTCGAGGTTTCATGGTATGGAGTGATTGCTAACCATAGCTTATAGGTAGCAGCAAGAAAATATATTAGTGTACAGTAAATAATATTTAAATGGGTTTGCTGCGTGGCACCGGAAACATGTTAAACAAATAGATGAAGATACAAAATCATTTATTGTTATGTGCAACTCGTTTCAGATGAAATTTGGGTTTAAATGCTTTCACAAAAAAGAAAATAAACTTAAAATACACAATATATAAGGTGCAAGTTATGGTACATAAATGATAACAGTGCTCAAATAAGAGAAAGGCATACCGTCTCTATGGTATGACGATATGATAATCTTTATAGAGAAAAGCTGCAGGTTCGAATCCCTTTTCTGTCTCTATGGTATGATGATAAGATAATCTAATTAATAGAGAAAAACTAATATATTGAACAGTAGTATACTACTGTAGATAAAAAAAGCCCCTGAAAAAAAGGCACCAGAAAAATGGCCCCAGAAAAAAGATCCGGTAAAAATGGCCCCAAATGACAGTTACACCTACTGTACTGTATTAATAGAGGGTAATACATAGTCACAACTCACATCTAGATGTGTATAAGAGACAGGTATATATATATGTTGTACAACTGATTGTAAGACTCAAAAAGAATATTTGACGAAAAACTCGTGGATGGTTATAACATGGAGGGAAAACTTATTTTATTTCTCCATGGTTATAATGAGATACAGAATTTTTGATATTTAAAAAAAGGTAGGGTGAGGGTGGGAAATGGATCCAGGAATGGTTTACGCCTCCTTTACCCCAAGTTTTTAAATATGCAAAAATCTATATCTCATTAACTGTTTCCAAGTTTTTCGTCAAATATGCTTTTTGTGTGTTAGAAAAATCAGTTATAAGCCTATCGTACAACATATCGTAAACCTATGTATTGTTAGGCCTAGCTTTTGTGGGACCTTAGCAAAGCAATAATATCCAAGGGGCGGGGCTTAGCGGAAAGGTTTATTTAAGCCCAAAGGTCATGTCAGGATAAACGCGAATTTTAAACAATTTGAACTGACTGTTTCCCTCACTCAGTTACAAACTGCTTTTATTTAGAGAATAATACAATTGTTATTTTTCAGTGGTTGACAGAACATTTTTAATTAGAAAACAGTGACTTAAGTAATGGCAGTTAACAGTAGGAAGCGAAGTGCCGCAGATATTTGGAATTGGAATGGAACTCCTGTTGCAGACTTTGGAATCAGCACGACAATGCCAAACGGCTTCCACCAAGTTTCCCCGGTAAATACGTTGAGCTGAAGCCCATTGAGTTGCCAGAATTTACGATGGCCGGCCTAGGCCTAGACCGTTTTGGCCTAACTAGCTTATAGGCCTATGCCTAGCCCATGCATTAGGTTTAATTAGTTGAGTTTGAGTGTATTTATGCTATATATTTCTGTAGGCGGATGACTGAGGCCATCAACCTCTGGTTAGCCCATTTTCCACACTTTCCAGTGAACACATTTTCCCCAGGCCAGGGTCCCACCAGGAAAGAGACTAGAGTAAGGGGATAGCCTGAGTCCTAATGCTGTATATTCTCTGTGCAAAAATTTGGCCTAGAAATCCGTCCGCGCACTTTGAAAATTAAGGGCTGATTTCTGCTCAGATTTTACCGAAAATTATGATTTGACCCCCATACTGTAAAGTTTTTTAATTGAGCAGAGAAATTATCTAAAAAATAAGCTCATGTTTGTGCGGAATCATAGGCCTAATTGCTGCATAAATGCATTAGTTATATATTAAGATTTGGTCAAAGCCTAATTTTCGGCAAAATCTGTGTGGAAATCGGTCCCAATTTTCCGGAATGCGCGGACGGATTTCGAGGCCAAATTTTTGCGCGGAGGATATATTCCTCAGCTATTGTCTGTGGGTGCCAAATGCCATCCATTTTGATGGTGGACCAGTTTCGCCGAGATATTTAACATATAGAAATTCATGAAATTAAGTGTGTTTTGTTTGTCTTTTATTAAAATATACACTATCCTTCCTTTACAGTTACAGTAAGTAGACATATATCTCAGTTATGTGAGAAGTTTGTTATACCCATCCATGGTTGAACTTAAAATTACGCTCATTTCTTGTATGTTTTGCTTGGCCTAGGCTTCCCTTTTTGGCAAAATAAAAACATGTTTGTTACTGTTGTGTGCCTTTCCCACTGTCTATTATATTACAATTATCAGCAAATTTGTTGGTCATTCATTGAATCAAATTGACTGAAAACATCAATACAAAATGTGTTCCATACATCACGGCCAAAACAGTCATACACCGGCTAGGTTAGGTCTGTAGCCGTAGGCTAGTATTAGAACTCTCCATACAACTAGTAGTACAGTATATATTTACTAGGGGGTAAATCCAACCTAATAATAAGGACCCCAAAAGTGTAGGATACAACAGGAAGTGTAAAAGAAATAGGGTCAATGATAGGAAAAGTCAACCACCACATTTTAAAAAGCAAAGTCTGTCTTTTGAGTGTCAGTCATAAGTAGGCTTGCCATACCGTCTCGGGCTCCAATACTTATAGCCTATGTATTATATTGGTTATGAATTTTTTTTATTCATATTTATAGAAACGGAAATGCAATGGGTTGCTGTATACTAATCAAACAACCATGCTGCCCATGGCCCCTGTGTATCAGAAGCACGAAGAGCAGCAACAGTTCCCTGAGCAATTGTCAATGCATGTAGATGAAGATATGCATGAAGAAGGAATGGACACACAGACCATGAATACAGAAGTAAATAAGGGAGAACATTTTCTAATTAACAAACAATAAATAAATATACTTGATTATCCTGACACAAATCCAGTTATTGTCTGTTCCATCACGATAATAACAATTGATATCAACATTGCAGTACCTGCTGCTTACTTGGACTCGAACTCAACCCTGGCCATCAGGCACAAGCTTGGTGGTGTAGAGGTATGATGCCAGGCTAGTGATCTGGAGATTGTCGGTTCGAGTCCCAACCCGAGATTTCTTTCACAATTGTTTTCACACGTACTGAGTATTCAGTACATTTCCATGTCAGGTAGGGCAATAAATAAATCATAATAATGTTGCCATTTTCTAACCAGTTTCTAATATGCATTTTGTTATAGGATACAAAGAAAAATAATGTGTGTGCAAGATGTTTAGCAGGCGAGCCAGTAAGTATTACTAACATTAACTTACAAACATAGTTTGTTTGTATTTAGTTTATTTTTTTAAGGTTTTTGAAATAAATTTGAAATTACAGTCTGTTTAGCCTGTGTTCTAATTTCTAGTTTTCACCCAGCACAAACATAGTTTGTTTGTATTTAGTTTATTTATGTACTCTCTTTTTTTTTTAAGGTTTTTGAAATAAATTTGAAATTACAGTCTGTTTAGCCTGTGTTCTAATTTCTAGTTTTCACCCAGCACAAAACGCTATTATAATAACATTCACGAATGATGTGAATGGTGTGGTTAGGTTATGTAAAAAAATAATGTTTTCACAATGTTCTAAATGTTATGTCATCAGAATTAGGTTATAAAAATGTATTCATGGTTCTACAAAAAAAAAATGTTCTGATAGTTTAAATGCAGCGCTATTATATTGTAAAATTGTTAGCTGGGAAGTTCAATCCCAGTTGGTTTTATAGTAGAGTATAGGTTTATTTTAATATGTTTATAAAATCATGTAAATTGTAAGCAATTCATTAGTTTGAAAATAGAAAAAAAAAAACACCCACCAGAATCCAAGCGTTTGAAAAAAACAAAAATACACAGTACAGTTGAGCTTGCCTACAGTAAGTTGAATCCAAAATGGCATTGAAAAATTGTTCAACTTAGATCAAATTTGACTTGTTAATTAATGGAAAATACAACAATTTGGCATGTAGAATAAGATCGACTTAGAAATTATTTGAGTTAGGCAAAGTCGACTTAGGCAAGTTTAATTGTATATAAAACCAGGGGTTTAGCCAGAAAAAGAAAATAGGCTGTCCAAAATATGCTTTAGTTTAATGCAACATTTGATAGATTTGAAGAATATAATTAATTTGCTAAAGCAGACAAGCCCCAACTAGGCTAGGCCTAGCTGTCAAGCCGTCACGGTAAAAGTGGCCGTCCAAAAGACAGCCGGATGGCTCGCTGGAAAAGCCCTTGTATAAAACCCATTATTTAGGGCTGGCACTGGTAGGCCTGTGTGTCTTTCCCATGCTGGTATTTTTTTTTTTAACTATGCCAGCAGCTCTTGCCAAATGAAGTGCCTATTTATAATCTTCATTGCTGTTATTGTCCGATCCTGCTTATTATTTAGTACAGTCATGCATTTAGTTGATTGTGATAATGTTTTGTATGTTCAGCAAGAAGTTGGAATATTGAATAAATATTGTTATCTCATAAAGTATGTTTGCTTACTGTCTTTCAGGGTCATATAATGCATATATTGGGATAGGTGCAGTATGTGTGATTGTACTTAATCAAGGTGTGCTGTACATTACTGATTTTTATCAGCATGGGAAAGAATACAGGTGATTGCAGGTCAAACAACTATTGTATTCTTTTCGCTAATGATGAGTGAAATCATGGACGTATGATATATTACCATGGTATAATAAACCTTTTGAATATTCTTAAGCTCCGCCCACCAGATAAAGTTGCTACTTAACCGCATGTTCTGATTGGTTAATTTGTTTGATCGGCACCTTTTTATGTGTTTTGATGTGCAAAGATAAGGTAAAATTATTGGTTTTTTTTAAAATTTGTTTGTCATGTCCTCTTGCATTTACTATATCAAAGGTCATCACATAAACAATAAGGCATACTCTGTATAATATTTTGTTAAATGCAACCAATTTTGAATAACTGATGAAGTCAGATCAAAATCAACATTGGCCCTATGCTCTATGCTTTGGTTATTTATTTATTTATTTTGACCTTCGACATAGACCAGGGCATTTGAAACTGTTATTAGGGCTTCTGCACATACAAAGTTTACATTATTAGATAAATTTGTTTGTGAAAAATTTATTTATCAGGATTCAATAATCACGCTCAGTTATTATTCAGATGTCTTACTGAGCTATGATGGTACAGAGTGTACACCCTTTGATTTTTTTTTTTTTTTTTTTTTGTATTTTGGTATAGAATGATTTTCCACTATTACACCTACTGTATGGAAGCTTTTTAATTTGATATTGCTTTTTACATTTTTATTTCAGGGGCAGATCCAGACAAAAACCTGGGTAGGTGGGTGGTGTTTGAGATTTTTGTTTAGAAAAGCTTGATTATAGACACTTATAGAATTTAAATCCTACTAATCTTCTCTCTATTTTTTTGGTGGGGGGGGTCTCGAATTTCCCACCCCCACTGGATCTGCCCTTGTATTTGATGTGCCTTCTTAGTTTGATATATACCTGGTGTTTACTGCAGTGTTGTAAAAAAAATAGTTTTTCTAGATAGCAGAACCTACATATACTTTCTGATTGGTTTGCTTATGTTTTACCAATTTTATACAAGGAATGTAATGAAATCAATTCATTCAGTGCATTACTATAAATTATTTAAAAATCTGGACTAAGAATTTGGATGAAATTTCAGTTTCATTTTCAAGGACTGTATAGTATTTTGATACATTTTGATATATTTTTAATCAATTGAACAAATTCTTACATAAATCTACTTACATAGATTGAAATTGAATAAAGGTACAGTATATAAGTTGAGGATTGGGAAGTGATTTTATGCAACTTATTATATTATATTATAGAAAAAAATTGGAAATATTCATAAGATTCTGAAGAATGTAGTAATCGGTATGATATTCTACCATGGCCTGCCAACCAGTACTATTTTGTTATACATTTGCTTTCGTAGCATAATAAATCATTAACCTGTATTAATTTCCTCATAGTGGATTGATATATGGCACCTTGGAGTTTGTTACTTTTGGTAGCTCCAAGATGGGATTGCCATAAAAAGTTTACTAACAGGATTTCCCAGGTTTTTTTTGTCTTTATTTTTAATGCCAAAAAACAATGATAAAATGTAGCGCTTACCATAATGTACAGTATAATTGTGTGATTAGGGTATGTCTTCCTTGTTTGTATGCAAAATCATTGAAGACATTTCAGAAGATAGTGTAAAAAGGTGTGCTTGTGTTGTCCTGTGCTTGTCAAAAGATATAACAAAACAAAGAGAGGCACTTAATTTTGATTTCAAAACACCATCCAAACCCATTCATGAGCAGTTGGCTGATGGTATTGTCTCCTTAAATAACACTCACTTGAAAGTTAATGGAATGAAGCCTGGTTTCGTTAAAGTCGCTACAGTGTTTTCAGTGCAATTGCTGTACCGACCGATCAGCATCACCGAAAGCTGTCAGTGATAGCATGTAGCGATTGTATGGAAACCAAGCGTTAAGGACAATGTATCTGTTTTATATAAGTACTGCTCCAGAGACCTGTCAAAATTTCCTATTTTAATCTTTGACGATAAGGAACATTGGGTTTATTTTGTTACTTCATGATTTCTCATAACGTACAATGAGAGCGCTTTTGCGGTTCTTCCTCAGCAGTGGTGGTCCAGGGCTGTTGGGGGGGGGGTCGATAAAGAAAAGGAGAAAGAAGAGCACGCCACTTCAGGTCAAGCTAACTTCTGTAGTACGATTCTATTTGTCGTTTGATGGCAATTTTTTAAAATCAGTTAAAAACCCTTCCGTAAGTCCTCCTTATTTAAGGTTATCAGATTTTGACTAATCTACTGTGTAAAGATGTCCAGCTTGATATGACTCTATCTGAAGCATTTTGTAATTACAGTATTAATCAGCAAATAAGTCACCAGAAGATATTTTTTTTAGAGAATATATGTAAATAATTGACAGCACTACATGGATACAATATTGTAAACATAGAAAAGCAATGCTTCAAATGTTTTATGTAATGTTTATGTACAATAATGATCTTTAAAAAAATAAAGCTTAAAGCAAACACTGAAAGAAGCAAGTTGTAGAGCCTGTTATTTTTTGTTTCCCGAACTTATTTTTTTAAAGATTGCCATTTTTTCGCAGCAACTGGTGTGCTAATTGACCAAAAATTAAATTTTATTTTTATTTGAAATTATCAATATTGGAGGGCGGCGGGTTCGCAAAACAACTTATGAAAAATGTCTCACCTAAATGACTGCATATACACTGACAGTGGTGTAATGAAAAAAGAAACAAAGCTTACTTTGGCAATCATTATGCCTATTTACTGAGGTAAAAAGTAATTTATTTTCTCTCATTGACAATGCATAAGATAATGCCAAAATACATATGCTATAAATTATCCAGCATACCTCTAAATACCATTATTGCAATAAAAATATACAGTACTGCTGAAGTGTACTGTTGTGTCGATTTGCCATGAGCATCTTTCTACAGTAGATGGATACGGTGCAAAACAAATTTTCATTATTATTTTTCATTATATCAGCTGTGCATAAAATATGGGAAAACATACAAATTAATTACAAAAAATTCTGTAGTTTTCCAGGCCTTTACTGTACAACAAAAAACCATGATTACCAGCAAACTTAATCATCTAGTTTGTGAATGCTAATGCCTTATGGTACTAATTTTTTTAGATATATATATTTTCAAAAATATCAATAGGGGAGAATTAAGATAAATCTAGTTTCATAGTATCTGTGTATATTTTTTCGAATGTACTGTATATTGCTTTAACATTGGGTAAAGATGTACATTTTTCCATAATGTCGATCGGATCCCTCCTGCTGCCTCTAATCACACAACTCATAGTTGCTAGCAAGTTGTCACAGGCGAGCTGCAAGGGTGACATTAGATTAGCTTGTCCTACACATATTGTCAAGTAAGCTATCCAAATAATATTAATTTTTTTAGATATATATATTTTTAAAAATTTCAATAGGGGAGAATTTAAAAACTAAAAATCTAGTTTCATAGTATCTGTGTATACTTTTTGAAATGTATACTGCTTTAACACTGGGTAAAGATGTACATTTTTCCATCTGCCGATCGGATACCTCATGTTGCCTCTGATCATGCAACTCATAGTTGCTGGCAAATGGCCACAGGCAAGTTGCAAGGGTGACATTAGCTTAGCTTAAGGTGCACATATCTTCAAGCTCACTGACACAGGCACGTTGTGTAAGTGGTCTTGTACACAATGTATGTTTCCCTTGCACCATTCTGCTCTGGACATGCAGTAACTCTTATTGGTCACTAAGCTCAGATGGATGTCTCTCAATTGCCTTGGGCAGGGTCTCGCCTGCAGGACCCTTGAAATGGAAACTACAATACAAATGACAGAATATGAAATCTTCAATAATTGCCACAAACATACAAAACTAACATAGAATAAATGCTACTCCGAATAACACGAAGACCTTGATTCGAAGGTGCAAAATTTATTGGGTCAAATTGGGGAAAATTCTAAAAGTATACAACGAATATTGTGTATCCTTTATGCAATGCATTTGTGAAACATAATTTGACAAGCAGAAATTAATTTGTAATAATATAATATTGAAAACTGTATAATTATTTATTTATAAATTTAATTCAATTTAGATAATTTCAAATTTAATTGGATTTATGAAACACCATAAACATGCAACACCAATCTGAAAGCACTCACCC